CCATTGGGGATATAAAGTCAAAGGTCAATCAGACTTGTTATTGTGAAGCATGTCCAATTAGGTTAAAATGCGGAAGCGGATGGAGCGGATCTACGGAACGGATGTGGGGATAAAATATAGAACGGATGGGGGTAAAATGCGTTCTTTTAATGATACAACGTCGTAGTGCTTATTATTCATAACATATCTTATACAGCTATATTTGGGTGATAGAATAATCATATTATGCAAAATTTGGGTGTTGGTGAAACAATTTAAATTTCAAGATGCGTGTAGCATCACAGTAAATAAATAAATAAATTGTATCAGTTCCACGAGGCACGTTTCTGATCTATTAGGCTTGTTTCAAACGTGGCGCTACTCATGTGCCGAACGCATTATAAAGTAGATAATGAGATGAAATGCCTTTGGTAACTGTTTATTTCGTAGTGTAAGCCATCAGCCTTTCTAGGTTGTCGGCAACCCTATATAGTTCTTGCAGTCTTTTTCAATTTGAAACTTCACACTATCCTTGGATCCCTAGTTTCTTATGGAACGGCTAGGCAAAATAATTGTATGACTTATGCGTAAATATCAGGATTATGGAATTTCATATTTATGCATACAAATGAATCCTTATAATACTGCTATGTCGTTGTTTTAAGGTCTCGAACTGTGTTTTGATCAACCAGTTGATTCCGAACTCCTGAGATTTGTCAACACTGAGGTTGCTGAACTTTACGAATCTGTAAAATTGTGGAAAGAAGATGTAGAGAATAGCCAGGTATACTAACGGTCTAATCCATAATGCACACGGCTGCCTTAAGCCAGGGGGGGGGGGAGGTTGCTGCGGCGTGCCGATTCCTTCAAGATATCGACATTTTTAATATTCTGAACATTTGCCTGATTTTGGCCGGAGCATTGCTGTTTTGCCAAAATCATATAGGAAATGACCAAACTGTGATTTTTCTTTGTCAAAGTTATAGTTTACTTTTTCAAACTAAATAAAGTCTATAACTGAGGGCGGTAAAGGGGGAGGGTATTGGTGACAGTTCATTTAAAATATTAATGGTAATTTCACAATTCACGAATAGAAATCTTCCGCTGTTACTTAACTATTTATTTTGATCATCACGCTAAATGGAGTAGTTTACCCATAGAAATTGTACAGTTTAACCAGGAGTTTAACAAATACCATACGGCGTAATTAATAATACGACGATGTATTTGTCGAAACATAATTTTCATTTTTGTTATTCAAAACCAGTCTTTTTCGTTAGGCTCCGTTTACATGAGACCAGAACGAAGTCGAACTGGAACCATTCCGTTTCGGTCACAGTGTCATTTATATTAGATGTTTACATGAGACCGGGACGAAAATAACTCAGACCGATCTCATGTCATTCTACCTGCTGAACCGAACCGACAGACTTCAGACCGCCATTAATTTAGACCAGGATGAATGTAAACACAAATACATTTCAGACTGGTCTCGATTGTAACCTTGACATTGGAACAACACATGCTAAGAAAAGTCATGTAAAAAAGAAAATTGCTTAGCAAGGGGAATAAATTGAAAATTTTCGTACCGGTCTCATGCTGTGGCGTAGCCACGGGGGTTTTTTGGGGGGGAAAGAGTCCCCCCACACTCTCCTCCAGAACCACCTTCGAGATATGTTTAAATCCGTTGAGAAACTGGGGTGGGTGGGGGTGGGGTAACACTGGTCCGATTTCATGTCCAGCTTATTATTCGCAGGCATTCTTGACCGAATTATGATGATATAATCTTCTGAATTTTTTAAAATCTCACCCCAGAATGCACGAAATGGCGTTTCAGAGGCTTTGAATTTCAAACTTGTCCCGGAGGAGCATGCCCCCGGACCCGTCTACAGTGTCCGCGCCTTCGGCGCTCAACTTTTCCCTACCCCCACTTTGTAAACCCTGGCTACGCCACCGGTCTCATGTAAACGTGTTGACAATTTCAATTTTCATTCCGGTTTGACTTCGTCCCAGTCTCATGCAAACGGGGCCTTAGAAAAACAGTGTTATCTTCTGTAAACATTTTTCATGCAAAGTTTCCATGCGAACTTCGCATTATTGCTGTGCGACAAGGTGAGGGGGATGAGACATCATATGGAGCTTCCGTAGCGCGATTGTCAGAGCAAGCATTTTTACTTCTGATATTGTGAGATTAATTCTCACTGCGGACGCATGACCGTTAATATGTGGAAAATAGTTAGCCAATGCTCTAGCGATAGTCGTGGGCTTTCTCCAGGTAATCGCGGATTTTCCCCCACAGAAAATGTTGGAATGTTGACAGGGTGGACTGTGCTCCGTCATCAGTCATACATGAGTAATGAGGTATCTGCCAGGCCAGAAATGCCCTTAACCCTTATTTAAACTAATTTTCCACTAGGCGAATTTGGTCGCGCAAAGCGACGTTTTCCTTTGATGGCATTCGTTTGCTGACGTCATAAGCGTTGCCGACAAAGGAAAAAGTCACTTCGCGCGAATATATTCGCTTAGTGGAAAACGGGCTTTAGAAAGCCTTTAGAAATGCACACCCATACTGATTTGGAACATTATATTTAGCTATGATGAAAAATATACTTTCATTGCTAGTAAATTTAATCAAAATAAGCAACGGTTTCCGTCTATTCTCTCAGGACTGATCTTTTTTGCTAAAAAGCATTATAATAGGTTTCTTGTGATGCTGATGTTCTTTGCAAAACTATTGTTTATATTTATAGCCTGCGTAGCAGGCGGTATTGGCGGAGACAAGAGAACGGGTAGCTTGAAATACCGCCTGCCCAAAAACTACATATTCTGAGTTCCACCCACCGAACGCATGGGTTCCGCCCATTTTAATGTGTTTGTTAAACTCGTTCACGTATTAATTGCACTAGTGCAAATAGACGACTTTGACGTTTCATATATTCGGTTCATTGAATGCTATGAAGACATTCAAGAATACCACGTTCGATTCAGTGTAACAATATGTCCTCATTCATAGCGATAGTATTAGTCGATATCAACATTATAGCGATTTATGAGCTTTGAAAGTCAAGCGAGTTCGTATATTATCAAATTACGCAATTGTCTGAACAAAAATATAGACTAGCCATACCTTTCGTCGAACATAACTTCGGCCCCTTCGGACGTATCTTCTTTGTACGTAATAGTCTTGTTCGAATCGCTATCAAAAACACTACTTAGAGCGTGCATCTTTAAATGCGTCTTTTATTACGGTATTTCTATTTCTATCACGGTATTTCCACTTCTGTCACATCTCTATCAAGCAAAAAATGTTGGATTGATATTCTTTGTTCATTTTTGAAGACGATGGGATTACCGATTCCAGATAAAGAATCGAATTCAATGCTTTCTCATTAATACATTCCTTAATTTTATCGTTAGTGTATGCCCGTCACTCGATGGATCGGTATCAATTACGAAAATAACAATAGTTAATACGACAACATTAACTTCTAAAATTAGCACTAATTATTCTAATTCTTTAACTCCTGTCAATCAAAAATTCAAAATCAACATTCTGACCAATCAGAATGTTCTGTCACCTAGCTGCCGGAGAATTCAGAATGTGTAGTTTTTGGGCAGGCGGTATTTCAAGCTGTCCGTACTCCCGTGCCCGCGAATGCCGCCTGCTACGCAGGCTACTATATTTATTATACCCTCATCAGAAGTGGCAATGTGCCATTAGTCAGCCTGAGCAACAACCATTAGTTCAAAGTTCCACAACTCCAACAACATGTTGCAACATACAGTCAATAATTATAAGAACAAAAGTATATTGGCACGCATACGTGCATGTATATAGTCGTATATGTGCATGTACTATTTTTAACGTACACATTCCATGGGAATTAAATTAATTAACAATAAAATTTAGAAAAAGAGCAGTATTCTTCTTACAAGTACAGTGTAAATGTCGTGTTATTTGATGGTTCGTGAAAAGATATACTGAAACTCTTGACAAATTAGATAAACTATAGTTGAAATATATATTTTTACTTTTTTCACAGGTATGTGTACAGAGTAAACTTTTAAACGCCCTGGAAACTATCGAGAAATCTTTGAAACAGGAAATCCAAGATTTGAAGAAAAGACAACTCCGTACTGAACAAGATGTCGAGCAATTAAAACTTCGACAGCTCACATTGTATGAAAACGTCGCAAGAAAAACCGAAGAAGAACCACGATATATTTTCATGGCGCCAAAGCAAACCAAGTGGTTCAGCGGCCGAGAATCCGAATTGGATTTGCTTCGAGATATTCTAATGAATGACAATGGGAATAGTGAAGAGAAAGTAATCATAGCAGCCGTATCAGGCCTAGGAGGAAACGGGAAAACAAGTCTTACTGCAGAATATATACACAAATGGAAGGATTATTACGAAGGAGGTGTCTATTGGTTTTCTGGGGAAGACGATGTCAAGTTGAAATCCACCGTTGATGATATAGCTGCGCAATTCAACACCCTTCATGAAAATTCACTTGAGGCTACATTGTCCAAAACTTTAGCACTAATTTCGCGCATTACAAAACCATGGTTGATGATCATAGATGATATGGATGAGTTTAGTCTTTCACAAAATTTACTGAAATTGGTATCGGGATCGTGGCAAGCAAACGCCTGCTTCGGTCATCTCATCATAACAACACGAAGAACGTCACAGGAGTTAAAAGAACATATATCTGATTTCAAAGAATCCAGGTGCCTCAACCTTGAATGCTTTGGTTTAGAGGAAGCGAAGACTTTCGTTTTTAAAAGGACTGAGACTGTTCGCGATGAACAAACAGGTTAGCTTACATTTTTTTGTATTCAATTAATTCAGTAGAAAAGAATGGACACATTTTTAGTGCAGTATTGTGATGATGGCAGAATTCAAATAACCGAATCATATATTCACGGGGTCCACTAGGCTTAGATTCCAGCCGTTGGGTTCTCGGCACTCGCCTCCCTAACGGCTGGGTCAATGAGCTTCGGCATTGTTTGATTAAGGTAAATAATAGCGTTATTAGCATGACTATAAATTTACAGTATTGCTAAAGCATATAAAAGTTATAACAATATATAGAGAACTAATATGGAAAACTAGGATTATACAATTTACAAATTAGTATATGTGCAATGATACTTAATAGACTAACATAACATTAACGTTAATAAGGAGTAAGAAGAAAGAATGTAGACAAGTATAATGTTTACAAATAAGGTGGTTATTACAACCTCTGCTAATTAGCACTCATGGTTTTAAGATATTTAAGCCTTTGTTCAAAACATGAGTAAACAAATTTTGACAGTTTAGTTATGATTTCAGTATCAATTGACTTCATTAAGTCAGCTGATAGAGTTTGAGAGTTCAGTTTAATCTCGTTAGATGAGGCATTCTTTAAAGAACTTCGGAGGTCTTCACGAGAATGCTCATAGGCTTTGCAAAAGAGCAGGAAATGGGTTTCGTTTTCCACTTCTCCTGAATTACAGATTTCACATAAGCGTTCTTCTCGGGGTATGTTTTGGTATCGCCCGATTTCAATTTGGAGGTTATGGATGCTGACTGTAAAACGTGAAAGACATTTTCTCTTGTATGGGTCTTTTATAAGTACTAAGTATTTTTCGAGGTTGTGGTCCGTTTCGAATGTGGAATAGAAAGTTAATTTGGATGAATTTTCAAGTTTATGTTTCCAGAATGTCAAGTATTTTTCCTCAAAGGTTTTGGTAATAGCTTCAATATGTTCAGACGTTACGGCTTCCAGATTAGGGATTTCTTCATTTAGATTTGAATTTTTGATTGTATCCATTGCATTTCCGTAAAAGGAAGTTTTCTGCATAGAGTAGAGATCTTTCGAGATTCGAAATGCTTGCTTTGCAATGGCTGTTTCGGAAAGTGAGTTTAAGTGAGTGATGTATTTGAAGACCCTTTTGGATACATTCATAATAAGAGGGAGTTTTCAAAGCTCAGCTCTGGAAGAAATGTTACTTGCTTTCCTACTGACAGCGAGGTATATTTTACAGAACTTAAGATGGACTTTTTCAATTGGTAACTTGTCCCAATTGTTGAAATCGTTTT